GTTAATGCGAGAATACCTTGGCCCCACAGTGCCTAAGGACCACGCAGCACGGCCACGAACGCCCAGCCCGGACTCTTTGCCGTATCGCCTGCTTAAAGGAAAACTGCTGAGGGAAGCAGGAAGTGGATCAGAGCCGAATGCGCTAGGTCTTTTAATGATTAATGTCTCCAGATCACACGTGGTGCCCCAGATTTTGCGTACCAGCGCTGTTGACCTGAGCACTGTCTTTTCTGAGGAGGAGATGCTCATTGCTCAGCGTTTCAATGAAAAACCCTTGCCGTACCACTGAACCGTATCGCCTCCCGCCGCCGCCGCTCTCTTCCAAAAGCAGAAAAGTGGGGAAGGTGCTCGTGTGCTGCGCACGCCCCGCACGCGTACGCAGCTGTGTGCGCGGCCGCACGGGCGCCTTTGTGTAACGCTGCACCCTTTATCGCCACCTTCACGGCAAGTGGTGTCTAAATACAAAACACCGATGCGTTTGCGGTCCTTCCCCTGGCACTTACGCCTGTCATCTTCTCCGTCTCGTTGCATTCTTGGGGTATGTTTTTGAGATGTGGTTTTGCTTTGGAATCGCCATCGCGGGCGCCTCGCTTTCTATTTACGATGCTGCTTTTGCAGTTTGACGTGTCTGTCGTTTAGCATTTGTGCTTTTTTTAATTAATTACGTGACAAATGCTGGTTGTCATCATGCCCCCGAGGCTCTGGCCTGGCAGTTTCCACAGCTCGTTCCTACCTGGCAGGTGTCGGTGCCTCCAGATGGCGAGCCGGCACAAATCATGTTGTTGTTCACCACACCTCCGTACGCGTCAGAACCGTTACAGATGCTGAAGGGAATGATTTCCACTTGTGCTTCTTTTAATGTGGCTGAAGTTTTACCTTTAACGGAAGACAGCATATAGAAAGGTAAACCTTTACGCCGTTGTGTGTAGCAATTCTTACCGTGCTCTTTTTTTCTCTGTTTAGCTAAAGCGTGTTCTGTGCGTGCTGAGACACGGATGTCAGTGACACGGACTGTGCCACCTTCTAATGGAGTGAAATGAAGCGGGTTAAGGATTTGCAGGCTGGGATTTGATGTAGTTTTCGCAGTTCTTACTCTGCAGAAACACCGATGGTAGCAGTACCACTCACTAGCCTTGCTCAAAATTCCAGCTCGGGAGCCCTGGGCACAAGGAGGACCTGGACCTGTTGGAGCGGGGCCAGAGGAGGCCACAAAAATGCTGCGAGGGCTGGAGCCCCTCTGCTGCGGGGTCGGGCTGGGGGGGGTGGGAGGGGGCTGCGGGGGGACCTGAGTGCGGCCGCTCAGGGCTTCAAGGGGGCCCCCAGGGAAGACGGGGACAATCTTTTGAGCAGGGCCGGCTGGGACAGGACACGGGGGGATGGTTTGAAACTAAACCAGGGGAAGTTTAGACTAGATAAAAGGAAGAAATTATTTCCAGTGCGGGTGGTGAAACCCTGGCAGGGGTTGCCCAGAGAGGGGGTGGAGGCCCCATCCCTGGGAACATCCCAGGCCAGGTTGGACGGGGCTGTGAGCAACCTGGTCTGGTTCAAGGTGTCCCTGCTCCTGCGGGGGGGTTGGGCTGGGTGACCTCTGGGGGTCCCTTCCCACCCAAACCATTCCGTGATTCTATGAAAATGTCAGAGGTGACTTAGCAAGCGAGCTGACATGACCCCCAGCTGTCCTCCAAATTTCCACACATGAAAGAGTCACACCACCAACTGTCCTCATACCGTTTGCACCCGCTGTGATTAAAGAGAGAGTTTGAGGGAGTGCAGCCATTTGTAAAGTACATGGGGACCCCTAAGTTCACAATGCATGGCATCAGAATTATTGGTTTTCAATAAAAAAAAGCTATTTCTAGCAGCCAACGTTGAGTGTCTGCACCGTGAATCTGAAAGCCAGGCTAGGAAGAAACGCTGGAAAACTTATGCCTTTGGTTACATCTCTCAGATCTAATCTGCTTTCAGTGGAAGAGCTACTGACAGCAGATACTCCGTTGCGGCAGGATTTAATGACGCTGCGTGATGAGACGATAACCTGACCAAACCCAGTTGTCTCTGGGTGAGCTCGAGGGACTGGAACCCAGGATTAGTTACGTAGGTTATAACTTGGCCGATGATGCAAGTGTACCTTTTTCTGCTGTCCGTCCCCAGCCGCTAACAAAGCATTCGGTTTCGTTGTCGGTGTCTGGGTGGAGGTGTGCGGGAGGGAGGCAGATGGGCTGGATGTAGTCGCTGTAGCGTACCGCGGAGTCCAGTTCAAATAAAGCGATATCATTTTCAAATGTTTCTCTCTTGAATCCCGGGTGCACGGTGATGCTTTTAATATTTCTTTTTGCTGCGTGTTTGCCGTGTTTCCAAAGGTTATGCACGCCCAAGACAGCTCTCCAGGAATATGGGTCCCTACGAGAGAATTGATGTGGTTTTTGCAATTAAGTAAATACGTTTCTTGATAGCATTGTCTTAACCGATTGTTTTACTGCTGGCTTACGGGCCTTTAGGAATACACATTGAAAATTCTGGAGTAAAATATTTTCTGGAACATATTTGGCTTAATTACAATTTGTCTGTTTTGAATGCTCAGTTTGCCTAATGCTGCCTGTGGCTGTTAAGGTGAATTCAGGTTGAGGATCGAAGCTGATACTCAGATTTTGCTTCCCACCCCATCTCAGCAGAGGCCACCAGGGAGATGGTTTTTTGAAGAAGATAAACACATGGGTTTATTTTGCAGAAAGGAAGTAGTCTTACAGCCCCACTGCTTATAAAGACTGTGCTTGTACCTAGATTTGGGAAATCCATTAGCTAGAAGTTAGAAATAATGAATATCAACTTAATATTAAATTTAGAAATAGGGGCGGAGTCATTCAGACCTAATTTCTGTACAAGTATGTTGAAAAAAATCCTCGCTGATATTAAGTGAGAATTGAATTTGGCCTGTGATGAGCAAAGGGCAGGCTGTAAAATTCAGATTAACCTCCAAAATCCTCCAGAGTGTAAGATAAAAATTAAATTGATTGTTTGCGATATAATGCCTCTCTGAATTAATGTTTGTAAAAGCGCATCTAAAGAAACAAGGAGCTGATCTAACAGAGCCCTGCTAAAGGGTAGAATTCCAAAGGTCAGAGTTTGTTATAGTTCAGTTTCCCTGAGGTCATGGTTATGTCAACGCAGTCGATAGGAACTTGCCTAAGCCTGTGTGCAGGTTTTGCAACTACGTTAAAGACTACAGAAAAGCCAACAGTGATCAGATAGCTGAAATCCCGCAGGATTGCTCTAAGTATACCCAAAAGGCCTGTTGTAAGGAGTGGTTTTAACATATTGTGTTCCCCCCCCCCCTCCAAAAAAAAAAGTAAAGTGCCCAATTGTTGGTTCTGTTAAACAGGAAAAATGGAAATAGCATTAAAACTTGTAATGTTTCTAATCTAAATATCGCAATGTTTTGCAGTGAGCCTTACTACTTCAGAAAAATCTATTAATCAGAAAAATTAGAGCCCCATGGGAAAAAAAAAAAGCCCCCAACCTAACAAAAATGTCACCTAGATCAAAAACAAATGACCCTTTTTTAAAAATACCAACGCTTGTTCTGGGCCAAGCCCAACGTGCCTCTGCAAGACTTTGTGATGTTGATGTATAAAGATGTAACTTTGCATCCTGTGCTGGGCTGGCGGCCATCACCACACACAACCATTACAGCAAAGGTGACAAAGGGGACAGGTTTTGGTCCTCAGTGCCGCGACCAGTCCCTCCTATGGGGGGGAAACAGGAGCTGCGTAGTTTGGGGCAGGAACTGCGTAGTTTGGGTCTGCACGTTGGTTCCGCACCATGGGAGCGCAGTCCGTGTACGTCCCATTGATTTGCCTTTTGTTTAAGAGATCCCACAGGCGATGCTTTGCTGATCTGCCGTGCCCTCCTCCTACTTAATAAAAAGCGGTATTAGCACGAATACATACTCTCTTCCTGTAACGCAGTGGCCGGCAGTAAGTATTGAATTCTCATTAACTAAAACTCCACCGCAAACGTGTGCAAATTGTACACCAGCCTGGTGAATCTGGAGGCTAACGG